GGTCTCTTTCCAATGTAGACTTCATCAGGAATCGATCAATCAATCGATATCTTATATCTGTCTGTTTTCGACAAAAAGCTTTGCATCGATGTGCAGCAGTTCAATTCGCCACACTCCATCCATGTTGCATACAAAGCGAGAGAAGAAAGTAAAAAGAAATGCAAAGTAGAGACAGTAGACAGGGATATGAGACATAGGAATAGTAATATCGAAGAACTTTCATTGAGTATTATAAGTCACAAGGAGTGGATGTATCTGCCCCAGCCGTTGAGAACGATTTTGAGTCATATCACAGATTGCCTCCAGAAGTCATTGTTGTTTACCGTCCCGAGGACCGCCACCGATCAGGAAGTTTACATCTTCCCAGGTGGTTGGTTTAAACTAACTCTTGTGTATTCCATTGATTGGTGCCATGTTTTGGTTTGACCGCCGCTAGTTCTTTTCCAACCTGACCGACCCTATGTCAGCTGACGTAGCCCGTTGTTCAGAAAGATGATGGTTATGCTAGGCATACGTAACACATGTCATAAACATCTCAGTCGATGTAGCTTCATAGCCTTGTCGATTGATTTCCCCTCTTCACCTAGCAGTCGACTAAGGCCTAACCTCAATATTGCTCACCGTATTATACCATTCCACACGAGAGATAGAACGCAGGCACCTATGATCAAAGACAGCTAGCTGGCCTTTTCATGTCTTCATTTTGAATGGCCATGTCTCGCTCACAGACAGCCATTAATGAGGACGGAGTGGACTGATGAGCAGTACACCCGCCCTTTGGTCGATAGCCAGGCGGATATCGTTTGAAACTCTTCAGTGAAGCACATCCGCTGCCTCCAGCGGCTTTCCTTCGTATCAAACTTGAAACTGGATAACACCATTGCTACCCAGTGTGTTTATGTTATCATACAATTCTTTGTCAAGAGGTGGAGGTTGTTGCTCGTAAGCTTTAGGATTCACGTTTATTCTAACAGATGATGGCGTTGATTCTAATCCCCTCGGCCAACCTGAAAAAACTGGATGAAATCATCTCTCATACAGCAAGTGTATTGATGAAGCTGATGTTTCTTTCTTTCTCTTAGAGTTAGTTTGTCAGTTTACTGTAATTTAAAAGTCTTAGTTCCCAGGAATTTGATTGATTTCATGTGTGATCGCGAACTGACATCAGTTAGAAAACCTGGGAGTTAGTGCACACCTTTCGGGGTTCGAACCCCGGTTGTTGCAGTTTCGAGTCGAACTCTTAGATCATTTAGCCACTGGGACACGACCTGATCCAATGACCAGTCAATGAATTCCGATTTCTGCTTACTGCTGTAGAGTCCAAAACCAGTAGGAAACAGTTGGTTGTCCAGTATTCTCAGATTTTCCACTCGTTCTCTAACTGATTGCAACTCGTTATCGATCCTGTAGAGACGAGACAGTTGTCAATTTGTGATTAAACTCGAAATCAATCAAGTCCTTGCAAACCATGGCTTGAAAAATACTCAGTTGCTCGCTAGTGACTGACTGACTGACTACAGGATGAAGTTGACTGAAATTCTAGCAGGAAGTCAGGAACAGTAGGGTCTCCAAGTTGGGGTGTTAAGACAAATCACTGGCTTCATCCAAAATAGATAGACCTGTGTATAGATGTACACCATTTGAACTTACCACTACTCCCCATCCAATATGGTGGAAGAACAATAAAGTTTTCTTGGATGATATGACAAATCATCACAGAGTGAATGCATCTGCTCCAGCCGTTTGACAACGATGATTTTCAGCCATATGACCGATAACAGTCTCTAGTCGTCATTGGTTCTTACCATCCTGAGGACACCAACCAGCCAGCTGCCAAGTCTACACCTCCCTACGCGGGGCTGGCTGACTCAAACTTACTGTCATGGATTTCACTGACTGATGTCGTCATGTTTTGGTTCTACCGCCAACCACTAGCTCTTTTCCAGCGACTTGTTCTTATATCAGCTAAGATTTCCGTGGAGAAAGGCGATAGCAAACTAGACATGTGACCTCAGAGACGACATTGGTTGACAGACACGCTGTCTCCTGAAGGTCCTTATGTCGATCCGTAGTGAGTACAGTCATAAGTGTGTGTGTGTGTGTGTGTGCGTACTGATGGAAGATTCGCAAGTAATTAGGGTGAAAATAGCTCTTCAGTAGTACTCTCTACTGGTTTTCTCTCTCCCTCTAACTGATATCAAGTTCATGATGAAATTATTGTCATTTATTTGATTCATAATTAAAACTCTTATTAATTATTATGATCATTCTCATAGAGGCGATTAACTTTTGACGTATTTAAATAAATTTAATTCGATTGAATTGTGAATAGGCTTTTCTATTTATTTCAACCTCCTGTTTTTTCTTCTCTTGCTTTTTTTATCTACTACTTCCGGTTATGCTTTGAATAATTATGCAATACTTTTCTAATTATTGTTATAAATTGTTCGTCTATATTTATTTCGATGTATCACAGTGTGTATAGGCAGAATAGTGCTGTATGTGTCTGTTCTCTTAGTTCTGTATGTATGATATGGATCATGTGTATTCACATAACTGTGCTCCTAGGGATACTACGGAGATGAGTAATTCGAGTAGAATATACAACCTTTCACATCGGACACATCTCCACGGGACTCGGTTCTGTGTGTCATTACTTTCATCTGGTTGCGCAACTCTATCCCCCAGCTTTAAATTCTTTGTCATATTGTAACGACAGAAGACAAGGGTCAGATGACAGATCGTTTGTCGAGAAAATCAACAGATATTTATAGATTTTTATGTACATTATTATTTGTTATTGTTCGCTGGGAAACAACGTCTTCTGATTGGTTGTTTTCTTTCTAAAGGTTATTCTGTACTGCTTGTGACCCACCGTTTCTCCGAAAGTTAAGCCATATATCCGCGAATAGTATTTGCACACGTTAAGTCTGCTGTGATTGGTTGATGAGTTCCTCAAGGTTAAGCTTTGCTATTGTTTTCTGTCATGACACCAATTCTGGACGTAAACATTGACGCAATTTGTTGTATACAGTTTTGGCACAATATGATCTCATCTCCATGTGTCACATTATGAAAGTCTAATTCGTCGCTTCCTATTCGGCTTCCTTTGCATCACTTTGTTACTGTCACGAACAGCATATTTGCTAAGACGATGACAGAAAAGTCACACCTTAATCTTCTACATATCTTCAAACAACATGAACCTAGAGAAGAAGGCCTTTTGCAGGCATAAGGCTTGAAGCCTTAGCTTTGCTGTTTCAGTAGTAATGTTTCTTTCGTGGGGTGTTAGTTGTTAGTTTCACACGCCCAAATTTCCTTCTTTATTGGGGTTGCTACTGGCTAAACGAGGTTCAGAAGTGCGACGGTAGAGGGTCGAACCCGGACCACATCCGCAGTTGGCGAGTATTCCCGTGCTGAACCATCTAAATCTTCAGTAATCGGGTGACAACCGTTTTCAGTGTGATGTAGTTATTAGCTTAATTTTGACTATTCCGCTGAAAACATTCATACCAGATCAGTAAATGGAATGTGAGAATTATTCATTTGAACATCACTCTATGCCCAGTATTTCTTACTGAATCTAACAGAGGAGGTCTTGATCTTAGTGCAGATAGATTATACATCGCATCACTGATGAGGATGTGACCGATTGAATTAAACACTCGTCAGTTGGGAACATACAATGTGCATTTCTTGAGTTTTAGGCAGTCAGGAAGTTAACAGATCAAATCTTGATCGGAACTCATATTAATTAAATTTTTCTGGCTGTTACCTACTGCCATCAGTATTGCTGTATAATCTTTATCATAGTTAATTGTTATTATAATTTCCTTAGCTTCCTAGTGGAACATAAGGCTTCAATAACGCATCTCTACTTTCTTCTTTTTCCTACTGTCCTCTTCATCTGGGTCCACCATCGCCTATAATCTTTCATCCGTTCCTCGCACAGTCTCCTCCGTGTAACCCTTGGATGACCCACTCGTCTTTGTTTCCTACCCGGTTTCCACTCTAGGGCTTGACGCGCGATGTCATTCGATGGTCTCCTCTGTGTCTACCCTATCCATATCCATTTTCTCCTACATATTTGTTGAACGACAGATTTTTGTTGAGTTTTTTCCTACAGTTTCTGTTGGAAATGCTATTCGTAATGCAGACGCCATGTTTCTGACTCATATAGAAAAAGTGACTGACTTCACATTTGTGTTGAACAGAATCCGAATCTCGTTGTTAATGCTGAGGCTGGCTGAGTACAGAAGATTTCCAAGCTGGTTTCAGGTTGATAAAGGTGTATCTTGTCTTTCCGATTCTGACTGGCTCCGACATTTTCATCCGTCTCACTGGCCTGTGGTTGAAACAATGCTTCCTAGATAAGTGAAGGAGTTAGCCTATGCCAAATCCCTCCCGTTGATTGTGATTAGTGCTGGTGTAACGACAGAAGTCAAGGCCCAGGCAACAGATCGTTTATTGAGAAAATCAACAAATATTTATAGATGTTTATGTACATTACTATTCGTTATTGTTAACAGAGAAGTAACGTCTTCTGATTGGTTGTTTTCCTGCTGAAGGTTATTCTGTCATCTATTTGGTGCCGTTTCTTAAACAATTCAGTGATCTATCTGCAAATCGTATCCGCCCACACTGTCTGCTGTGGTTGGTTGTTGAGTTGCTCAAGGTTAGGCTTTGTTCTTGTTTTTTTTCTCATAACCCCGATTCGGGACCTAAACATTGACGTAAATTGGTGTCTACAATATTGACTAGCAGACAGCTCTCACCACACTGGCTGTTGTTGCTGTTGTTTGGTTGGTTGGCTATCTTCATCACCTCTGTCTTGTATATTTTCATTCGGAGTCCTGTCCTCTCTGCTTCTTCAATATATATATATATATATATATATATATATAATATGAATTTTGAGTGATTTTGATATCAAGAAATTTACTATTACTCATTATATTTGCCTTGACGGTTATTTTTTCCATTTCTCTTTTCTTTTCTAGAAACCCTTGAAACAGCTGAAAGTCAAGTTAATAGAATTAAAAGAGAGAATAATTAATATGCGTAACACATCAACACGTCAATTATCCAATAAACATGCCAATGTACAAAGAACTATGATGTTGGATTGTATGTTTTCTACATCGAATTCAGAATTAGCTCAAGAGGAATTAGTGAAAATTCGTAAACGTGTAAGTGGAATTATTCTACCATTTTGATTGTTATTTCTTTCAATGTTTATCTGATAAGGAGATTGTAAGACTACCACAACTACTAATGCTAGTAATTATTATTAGTGTAGAGCCTGTGTTTAATGCCATCGACTTCAAGCCTACTGAAAAAAAAAACCCAACTCATTCAGTGAAGTTGTGAAGTTAAATCGATTAAGATTGCTGAGACACATGTTGTGTCTGCCGAGGTCATCGTCTTCCCTTTCGATGAGCAATGTCAGCTGATGACACTGGTGATGATATGACTCAAAATCATTGTCAGTTGTGTGGATTTATCGACTTGCTGTTTTTTATGGGATTCGCTGCTGCAGGACTGGATTACATCGAATTACTCCTAACTTAAAAATAGGGAGTGGAGTGAATTGGTAAAGCGTGTTAATGCTTTCATTTATTTGAGAAGTTGCGTCAGGCCCAATGGGTTGATCTCTGACGAAATCTCGTCACGGATACAGAAGGCTCGTTTGACATACGTCAACTTACGCCATCTCTGGCTTAATAGACATGATATCCGGCTGGCTATCGATCAAACGGCGTGTATACTGCGTAACAGCAGTTCGCTCCGTCCTCCTTTATGACTGTGAGGTAGACTTGGCCATTGACAGTGGAAGACATGATAAGCCAGGCTAGCTAGCTGTCTTTGATCATAGGTGTATGCGTTCTATCTCCCGTCTCATATGGTGTAATAGGGTGAGAAATATTGGGTTGGTTAGGCGTCGAGTGATGGGTAAGGAAAGAAAGTCAATCGATGAGGTTATGGAGCTACATCGATTGAGATGGTTAGGACATATGTTACGCATGCCTAGCGCAGCCATCATCTTCCTCGACAACGGGCTACATTGGCTGACATTGTTGAAAAAGAGCTGGTGAGGGTCAGACCAAAGTATGTCTTCATCAGTCAATGAAATCCATAACAGTTAGTTGGAGTCAAGCAGCCATCTACGGGTTGTAGACTGCGTGGTTGGTTATAGTCGTCGGGCTGGTAAGAACCAATGACGACTGGCGACTATTATTGGTGATGCGTCTGAAAATCGTTGTCAAATGGCTGGTGCATATGTATTCGCTTCTTGTGATATGTCATATCATCTAATAATATTGTATATTTCTTCCATATTTTCAACTCTTCTTTTTCGCCTCATACTTATGTTCATTATCTCTTTGTCTTTTAAACCTCCCTTTACTCTCTTCTTTTGCTTTGTGTGGTACATTAACTGGTGCACATCTGTGCAAAGCTCCATATTGAAACCAGTCAGTCAATTATCCATTCTCAGTGATCTCTTATATCCATTAAACCCCTCTTTCTTTTCCATGTTAGTATTTTGTCTCTTCTCTGTATGCTCTGTGTGGCACAATTTGAACTGGTTCGCTTCTGTGTAATTTTCTGTGTTGAATCTCAGTCAGTCGAAAGCACCTAACAAGAGTTCCTTCAACAAGGTGTAGCATCATTAGGTCTTATCGAATGGATATTGTTGCACACTGCTTACTGCATGCAGGTAGTTACAAGTAGCTACTGACTACTGCTATCTGACTAAATCATATGAGTTACCAATGTCAAGCTTTGTAAAGTATAAACAGAAATTTAAGTCAATATACACCGCGTATAGCACAGTGGAGAAACATTAAAAAGGGGAATTGTGAGAGGAATTATGATGAATAGAAATTTGCAGGAGGAAGAATATTTCCATGATGGACAATAAGGACTGAATACATCCAAGAATGATTTACCACTAAATCACCAAAATTCTCCAGCGACTACTTCCTAGTATTTCTTGGCAGCTAACGGATAGACTATCTACACTTTCCTACATGGCTGGCTCAAATCGTCAATCAGACTTCATGGATTGACATTATAACATTGCCTGACGAGGTAGCTGGATTTCTTAGCCTACATAATATTATGTATGTCCTAGCCGTACCTATCGGTGCAGATTCACTACCAGATTGATTGATTTTTACCTTCTTTTTTAGCCTAAGACTAACCTAAATATTGCTCATTTAGGCTTTTGATTGATTAACAATTGTATTATTACTATTACTATTACTGTGAATTATATTATGCTCGTGATGATGATGACATGGTTAACACACACTGGTGCATGTTTCATAGCTTAGTAGTTTAAGTAGCACACACTAGAGTAGACGGTCAACCCGATACTCCCTGTCCCTACTGCAACTCCCTACTCGCTCTCTACTCTCTTTTGAAAAGAATAAACTCTTAGCACAGTTGTCTGTTTTTCTTCTCAGCAGACTTGATATTGATTGGGGACACGTGGTCACTACTCATATGTCTTTGTGTGTGTATACTTTATTCCATAGGTTGATTAGAATGTGTGAATAATAGTTAAGTAATATTATAGTAAGTTGTTTGAATTAAATACAGTATGAGACTGTGATGGGGATTGGCTCATCTCATGGTAAAAGTATCACAACGTCTTATGTGTATTGTAATTATTATTATTCCCTTGGGTTCTGAGAGGAACATAGAGCTTCAACAACACATCTCTATTATATTCTGCCCTCTGCAGTCATCTTAAGCTGGCCACACGATTGCCTATAGGTTTTCGTCGCCTCCTCAAACGATCTCCCCCATGTTAATTTCGGATGTCTTAATTGGTCCACTCGAAGGCGCATGCTGCGCAGTACCACCTACAGGTCTCCCCAGCGTGTCTCCGATCCTTGACCATTTTCTTCGAAACATTTGTGAGCATTAGGTTCTTTGTCGAATTGTTCCCAGAATCTCTTGTTACCAATTCTTCATAGCTGGCCATCCGATCTTTAACACGGAGTCAGCAAAGTGCTCAACTGTTGACAAAAGTCTTCATCTGGCTCTTGGAAATGCTTTTGATGACAAGTCATCTCTGGAATATATAGAAGAAACAACTCAACATTTGTGTTGAAAGTCTGAATATCCTCCTTTATGCAGTGGAGTTCAGAAGATTTCCAAACTGACTTCAGAGTGTTGAAGGTGGACCTTGCTTTTCATATTTTACCTTTGACATTCCCGTGCACCTGTAGTAGTCGAAACTATGCTTCCCTAGCTAGATAAGTGAAGGAAGTAACTGCCTTCAAATTTCTTCCATGGATAGAGAATGGTGCCGGTTGTTGGTGTTGTTGCTGTTGGCTGGTTGTTTATTTGGTAATCTCCATCACCTCTGTCTTGTATATGTTCACCTGAAGTCAGTCCTGTCTTCGTTGCCCGCCACTTCTGTCAGTTTGTAGGTTTTCGCCTGTAAGTATTTGAGTCTATGTGTGACATCATATACACTACATATAAAAAGGTCACCTGGAATATATCGTATTGAAATCTCAAGAATTACAGAGATAGGACCAAATTTTGTTATACTTTATAGGTGCGTAATGCTGAGGAGTCGAAAATCCGAACGAAACGGTTGTCTAGTACTATTATTATTTAGGTTTTCAGTGGTTTTCTAAGCAGTATCACAGTTCATGCTTGAAAAACAATCTACATTGAAATGTTAACAGTCACAAATACGAAAATCTAAACAGTGTCTCTAGCATTTCATATGGCTGATTCACACGAAATCATATAACATAAAAGTATCAGTTCCAAGGCAGATTATCCTACTCGTAAAAACAAATCTAATCCTCACTAATGACTTGCTACAAGACGGAATTTCCTGGAGTTCTAGTAAGAAGTCGTCACCAGTGAGGTCTAACCAGTTAAGTGTGAGGATGGATTTCCCATCGATGACACACTGGTTGGTGCCAGTCGCGCTAAATGCATCACGAATTGGTAGAAGGTTAGAATTCATGAACTGGCTATTGAAGAGTCGGGTTCAAGCATTGATTGAATGGTATGCGAGCTTGCCCCTTGTAACCAGAAGGTATTGAGTTCGACCCGTACCAGTGGTGTGGGTGCGTACTGCCAATGATTTCCAAACTAGGTTGAAACACCTGTCCAGTACTTCCGGCTGGTTTTCAATGGTTCTCTAACTGATATCAATCCATGGTGAAACTAGTAAAAACAAATTTAGATACATACATTTTGAGTAAATGTATTCGAATAGCTCAGTGATAAATGCATTCTATGACGTTAATTATCTATAGATTATCAGCATCCACCGTTACACAACACATCACCTTAAATGTTTTTTTTTAAAAAGAAGACGTTAAGCTAAATATTCAGAAACCGATTGATTGTTTGGAGGATTTCATGATGAGCTGACATCAGTGAGAGAACTATTGGAAAAGTGACTAGGAGTACTGGACAGCCAGCTGTTTTGTCAACCTCTATTGGGACTCTTCATCAGTACACACCCACCCACAGGGGTTCGAACCCTGGACTTTCCGGTTACAAGGATAGCGAGCTCGTAGACCATTCATCAGCCACTGGGACCCAATCCGATACAATGACCAGTCCATGAATTCTAACTTCTGCCAATTCATGACGCAGCGAGACCACTTTGCAATGTCTTCTTCGAGGTAATAACTGTTTTAACTCCTACAACACATTCTGGAAGACTTTTTTTCCCACCTGCTTGAATGAGTTTCAAGATGATGTTAAGAGTAGCATTAAAAAAGTTATGACGTGACATAAACCTATCAAAAAGGCATTAGAAAAGACACTTCCAGTATTATTAATATATCAATTTTACAAAATGTTTATGTCTACAGGTGAAGTAACATTGAAAATGTATGTGAATATGCGCCGTAACCGAACACCCAGCGAAGCCTATAAAGTGAATACAGGCATAAGACAAGGCTATCTGTTTATTATCTGTGATGATAGCCCTAATTGTCGTGGACTGAATTATGCGTCAGACTGTGTGTGGGGAACGAGAAGACAGGTACACACTGGGGTCGATAAGAGGACTCTGGAAGATCTGCACTTTTGCGGATGATTTATGTCTAGTGTCACAAACAAACTCAATTACTTACAGGCGAAAACCTACAAACTGACAGAAGTGGCGGGCAACGAAGACAGGACTGACTTCAGGTGAACATATACAAGACAGAGGTGATGGAGATTACCAAATAAACAACCAGCCAACAGCAACAACACCAACAACCGGCACCATTCTCTATCCATGGAAGAAATTTGAAGGCAGTTACTTCCTTCACTTATCTAGCTAGGGAAGCATAGTTTCGACTACTACAGGTGCACGGGAATGTCAAAGGTAAAATATGAAAAGCAAGGTCCACCTTCAACACTCTGAAGTCAGTTTGGAAATCTTCTGAACTCCACTGCATAAAGGAGGATATTCAGACTTTCAACACAAATGTTGAGTTGTTTCTTCTATATATTCCAGAGATGACTTGTCATCAAAAGCATTTCCAAGAGCCAGATGAAGACTTTTGTCAACAGTTGAGCACTTTGCTGACTCCATGTTAAAGGTTGGATGGCCAGCCAGGAAGATGTAATAACAAGAAACTGGCTGATAGGGAACCAACGAAGAATCTATTACTCAACGAACATGTCAGAGAAAATGAAGATGAATTGGGCACAAGCTGAGACTACAGTTGGACGAAGTCGCGCATTAGGGCTTCTCTCAAGCGGAGCGCGAATGCGGAACGATGAGTGGGGTTACGGTCCAAAGGTGGTGACATGGAGGCGTTTGTGTGAAGAGGCAGTGAGAGACTACGGGGCAATCGTTGGCACAGCTAAAGAGGACGGCGGCGAATAGAACAAAGTGGCGATGTGTTGTTGGAGCCCTATGTTCTCGGATCTCAGGCGAACAATAATATAATAATAAAAAATATCAAGATATGTTAACTTACAAGTGACGCTTAAATTTTAAGTGTTAGTTTCGCAAGGATGTCATCGATTTCAAGAGTACCATTGACAATCATCAGAAAGTACTGGCCAGCTGTTGATTTCGCCCAGCTCTTCATCAGTATACACCAATGTCTTCACTGATGTTCGGATCGGATCCACAACCTTCAAGGCGAAGCCCGTCGACATTATCAGCCACTGGGATTGATTGATTGATTTGTTGCAATAGATCATCAGTTTTTACTTCTGTCAATATGCCATATTTAGTGTGAATGCCAGAATCCTTGAGAACGAATACGAAACAACTTTTCAGTTTTTTCAGCTGACTTTTGAATGGTTCTGTTTAACGGAAGTCAATTCGTGATTAATCCCTGATTTGTGATTGATAAGGTGGCTCAGTTGTAGAGGTTTAAGGAATATAACACTTTGGCACTTGAAACGAAAAAGATGGTGGGCGGGTGGTGGGAGAGTGTTGTGTTTGAGTCTCTCAGTGAGAGTCACTTATTCACTTACTCTCCAGAGAATATAGGTAGGTAGGATGAAACACGCCTCCTGGATTTTACTGCTACAGCCATGCCGTCCTTATCAATTAAGTATTGTCATTGACTAATGTGTATATTTATTTGTGTATTGTATATGCCCATTGTATACTTTACTACTAAATTCTACCTTATTCCTATTGTTGTTGTTGTTGTTCATCTACTTCCTTCACAATTCAACAGTGGCTGGAAGAACTAAATGAAATGGTTTGTTATATGTGCAATTAATTAATTACGTGTTTTTTTATATGTGGTATTTATTGATTTATTTGTTCATGTACTCCCTCGCTACCCCCCCCCTACTTCTCTTCGTTTGTTGACTGTTTTGCATTTGTGTAAATGTGTGTTGTTGTTGTTGTCCTCGTTGTAGATCCCTTGCCACTTTCCCCTTTCTCTCTCCATCTGTTAATGTTATCCTCATTAGCATCAATGTCGTTGTTACTGTTGTTATTATTGTTGTCGTGTTTAGTGTTGGTGTTAACGTCAATGTTACTACTGTTGTTGGTGTTAGTGCTCTTTTATCAAATTGTATTATTATTTTTTTGTCTTTCTTATGTTGTCGTAAGAATCATTCTGGTTGTCTGTGTGTCTGGAATTTTTGGTATTTTTTTAAAAACCATCATGCATGTACTATTTTTATTTAGTAGCTATCCAGGTGAGAGATCGGTGTGTGATGTGAACTCTGTTTTGACTCTCTCGCAATCTTTCTCTGTCTCAGTTGACTTGATTCGTTTAGGTAAGGGTTAGGTAGGTACAATGCGGATAAGAAAGGTCACGGCGTCAAATGAGCGAAACTGTCTCTATCCGTTACTTTCGATAATCTGGCGAGGAAGCTGCAGCAGTGTCCAGCAACTAATGTAGCGATCAAATTTATTCGGTTACGGTCTGAGACAAATGCTCTGACTGAATGTCTAAATCGGTTCTGTTGGACAATAATAACGGCAAACTCAAATTTACCTCAACAGTACCAAGCGGGGGGGGGGGTAGGTAGCTGGGCTTCTTAATACAAAACAAGAACTGTAAGACAAAATTAGTTGATCGAAATTCCGCCTGTAAGAGGTACCTTAGAATTGAGGAGGTGAATTTTCCCAACGGAGTAGAATCAGAAGTTCTGTCCACAAGTTTCACACACAACACTGCTTCCCGCAGATAGTCCCAGGTCAGAATGACCTTCAATCACTCAAACAAACTCATATTGTCAAACAGCACACGATAAATATACACACAATCACAAAGATTAGTATTACAATTAAGAATTAAACAAGAACAAAGGCAAGTAATAAAGGTCAAAAGTCAGGATGTCATATGCGTAAATGCCAAATTATCGATACAAAGTCTAGGGGGGGATACGTATGCTAAATAAGTATAAAAATATTATAAAAATAGATCATCCAGGAGGAATTTTTCAAACAATTTTTCCATTATACCGGCCACTAAAATCCCTCCATACGCTATAAAACACCTTTTAATGCTTTATGTTAAGGCTTTATCCTTGACACTGGGGTCCAGGACTTACAGTGGTATGCCTGCACAACCCCACCCTAGTTTATAGCTCGTCAGCTTCTTCAAAAAAAGAAGACAGAGTCTTATGTTGCGTTCTCTCCATCCACTTTCTTGTGTAGGACTTAGACGCTGCAGAAGAAGATCTTAAACTTCATCTGATGTCACCACCAATACCACCCAATAAAGAGATACTATCGCTAGCAGTACTTACAGGATTTAAACCGTGTACACTAGCACATGTTAGTTATGAATTCACTGTACTGTTAAGATGGGCTTCAGCTAACTCATCACCATGCATCATAAAATTGTATACACTTGCAATAAATCAGGTAACAATAAGAATGACATCATACAGACCGTAGAATTCAATGCCTAAAGTAGACAATCTTATATCGTACCATGCAAGGAGACCCCTTAAGAAGTACTGAATTTCATCGACCTGAGGTAATACACTATTCGGAATAAGACAGAGAAAGAACCGTGCACAACATATTGTTGTGTAGATGCCTACGAATCCATTACTATGCGTTGACACTATGATTAAACAAAAAAAACAAGGCGTGAAATCAGGCTGTAGATCTGTCCAATGCGCGAAGAGTACGGTCAGCATACAGATGGAGAAGTAACGGGTGAAGGTAAATGTGTTGCACAGCATGATTCTTTTCTTCAGTGTAGCATGTTTCGATTCATTTTTCGGCGTTTTGTTTTTGTTTTTTTCAAAATCATTTACAAGGTCTTCTTTTCTGTTTAATATATTATTTTGTAGAATTTGCCTGTTTTACATGTATTTTGTGATATCATTGTGTTTTCTATTATCTCGGTAAAAGGCATAATTGATTTCATATACATGTAATGAATGCTGGCTCCATAGTTACTTCTTCTCATACAATCTCCTTCATGTTATCCCTGGACGCACATCTTATGATTGTTTACAATTTGGGTTCCACTCTAGGGTCAGTCTGTTACGGAATGCCACCACTCAACGGTCTTTTTAGCGTTTGACCAATGCATCTACGTCCATTTGGTTCTTAGTTGGTTCATTGACAGACGCTCCTTGTTGCCTATTCTTCTTGACACAGATCATCTGATCTTCAGTATACTGGAGCCAGTGATGTCAGCTATTGATACAAGTTTGCAGTAACCTGTTGAAAAATACCAAGCACCTCTGAATAATACACATTTAGGATAGTCTGGTCACAGACATACACACCTACTTGTCATACAATCATTCATGTAAAAGTTATCAGAATATAAAAGGTCAAATTTAAGTTGATATACGATCGAATTACCATTATTATTATTATTATTTTTACGAGTTTGACCACGGATTGGTATCAGTAAGAGAACCATTGAAAACCAACAGGAAGTACTAGATAGTCAGCTGCTTCATTTTAGTTTGCAAATCATCGTTAGTCCACACCCGCCAGCGGGTTTCGAACCTAGGGCCTTCTAAAATACAAGCTCGTATATCATTCAGTCAATGCTTGGATCCGACTCCTCAATGGCCAGTCCATGAATTTTAATTTCTAACAATTTGTGGTTTTTCAATGTTTTTCTAACTGATATCAATCCGTGGTCAAACTCGAAAAACAAACCTAATCCTTACAAACCAACTATTAAAAATTAATCTGATGCTCTGTAGTGATTAGCTACAGGACGGAATTTCTTGAAGTTCTAGTGAGAAGTCATGATCAGTAAGGTTCGACCAGTCAAGAGTGAGGATGGATATCACACCGATGACATTGGTTGGTGCCAGTCGCGCTAAATGCATCACGAATTGGTAGAAGTTAGAATTCATGAACTGGCCATTGAAGAGTCGGGTCCCAGCATTGATTGAATGGTCTGCGAGCTTGCCCCTTGTAACCAGAAGGTATTGAGTTCGACCCCTGCCAGTGGTGTGGGTGCGTACTGCCGATGATTCCCAAACTAGGATGAAGCAGCTGTCCAGTACTCCCTCTGGGTTTTCAGTGGTTCTCTAATTGATATTAATTCATGGTCAAATTCGTAGGAACAAATCTAATCCTTACAAACGAACTCTTGAAAATTATTATTATTGTTTTTAAAATTCCCTTGGGTTCCGAGTGGAACATGAAGCTTCAGCAACACATATCCATTTCACTCTATTTTCTAAATTCTTAGTTAGCTTGTTCCATAGCTGCGTCTCTTCATTCAATCTCCTTCGTGTTATCATCAGATGCACATTTTATGATTATTTACAATTCGTGTTCCACTCTAGGGTCAATCTGTTGCGGAATGCCACTCAGCGTTTGACCAATACACCTCCGTTCTTTTGGTTCCTGGTTGGTTCATTGACAGACACTCCTTATTGCCCATTCTTCTTGACACTGGCCATCATGTTTTCAGTATAGTGGAGCCAGTGATGTCAGCTATTGATGCAAGTTAACAGTGGCCTGTTGAAAAATCCCATGCACCTCTGAAGCGTACAGAAGGACTTACTACCTTGACATTAATCAGTTCTGGAAATCTGAATCTTATTCTTTATATTTAAGGTTTGCCTTACTTTGACATCGTCATCAGGTGGCACACCTGTAGATGAAATAAAGCTTCCTAGATAAGTGAAGGAAGTGATCTCTTTCAAATATATTCCTTTCGTAGTGATTGGTGCCTGGTTGTTGTTGTTGTTGTTGTTGGTTAGTTGATTATCTTCATCACCTATGTCTTATTGATGTTTACTTGAAATCCTCTTCTTGCTGCCTGCATCTTCTGAGAACTTGTTGGTCTTTGCCTCTAAGTCTTTGATTTCCTGTGGCATTGGGCATAAATCGTGTCCATGAAATTCACATCTTCCAGAACCTTCTTATCGGTCCAACATTTACCTGTCCTCTCGCTCCCCACAATTTGCTGCATAATCCAGTCCACCGCACTTAGGAATATCATTGAAGGTGATAACAGGCGGATAGCCTTGTCTTTCTCTAGTCTTCATTCCAAAGGTTTCACAGACTTTTCTACCTACCTTATTAGTCTTATAGTTTTCTAACTGGCACATCAAGCCCCCACAAAGTGTGTGAACGGTTGAGCGTGTGTGGCTAACAACCCTACCCTAGAAAATCCAACCAATTGTTACATTTTCTTGATATTACTGTGATTACTATTATTTTGGTTAAAGGCGATATTTATCTGACGCACGTGCACCAAATGAATGAACAAGTTTGGGATAGTCTGACCTCACATACATACATTTTTAAAAACTTTGATTACAACTTGATTTTACACCTTATTTTTTGGTACAAATATGAGATTTTCAGCATGTGATATCGGTAGCCCAAATTTTGCAAGTTGGCCGTAGGTATCAGGTGTACGTCGGCACGGGGTCGAACCCCGGATCATATGCATGGTCGGCGAGAGTCCTAACCGCTGTGCCACCGACGCACATTTCTCATTACTAACATTCACATAAAAATTATCGTTGGTGGTTCAAGTGGTAAAATTCTCGTCAACTACACTTCATGTGGTTTGCGGTTCGATTCCTGGTCGACACATTCCTATAAGTCGCGTATCTGTGGCTGATAGTAAACGCTAAAATGGGGGAAAGTTTGGTATGTTAGGCTAACAACACCACACACACACACACACAGTAAAAAACCACCACCGCTACTGAAACTGAAAACTCCAATCGTGAAAGTGTATTTCTGGTATTAGATGGTTGGAGGCGATTGGCAGGAAGCCTCACATGACCTAGGTTT